AGGGAAAAATGCATGCATTCTTTCCCCTAGAATGCCCTGCTTACATCCCTCAGATTGGGTAATTCCTGCCTCACTGGCTTTCACCTTAGTCCTTTCAGATTGACCCAAACGGCGTGGTAATACCTCAGTATGTGAGACTTTGCAAGGCACATTTAAGTAAGTGAGAACCTAAATTATTGGATGTGAATGACTGAATGCAACTTTATTAAATCCAATGTGTTAAAAAGATTAGTATTAAGTTAACAAAATGTCAGTGGAGGTTCTTGGAGGTGGGGGGAGGACTGATTTAATTAGCCAGTTAGATTGATCTGCAGTTAGAATTATCTGAACTATAATGGGTGCTTATAAAGTCCATTCATTCGTTTATCAAATATTTATTAACTGCAGAGAGTTCTGTGATAACTTGAGATAAAGTAATAGGGTATGACAGGTATAGACTAACTGGGGGAACTCAGAGAGAGGAGAGATTGTTTCTAGCTTTTGGATCTAGAGAACCAGGGAAGTTAAAAAACACTGAACAATCTTGCTTTTTACTCTAGTCAGAGGTAGTGTTGATACAAAGGAAAATCTATTTTCATTCCTATTAAAAATTATTCTCGTTCATATTATTAAAACTCTGAATTCATAGCAACACAGTATATTTCTTTTCACTATGCTTCTTTGCTAATTTCTAAATAAATTTTCCAAAGAGCGGACCTTTGGTAAATAAGGTCAGCCCACTCCCTTCTTCTAGACAGTAAGTACTTCCATAGCTAGCGAGTGGAGGGAAGGTATGGACCCAGCCAGGGAGGCCACTCCTTCAAGAAGCTTGTCTGTGAATGGAGGAGAGTTAGTGAAGGTGGGACACAAAAATCTAGGGAGGGTTATTTATTTTTTGAGACCTGGGCACGTCCCTGTGTTATGGAGAAAGAGCTAGTAGAGATGGAGAAGTTGAAGACTGAAAGAGAAATAAAAATGGTTCATAATGTCACCTGGGGAGAAGGGGCTATTGTATCCTGAGCACGGGTGCAGAGATTAAACTTGAACTGAACACAGGACTAGGCTACCAGTAAGGTTAACGCCAATCACCACTACCACTACCATCATGTATTGCTCTCCTACCTTTTGCTAGCACTCTGTCAAGCATTTTTAAGTCTCATTTGATGGGGGCAAGGGATATGATGGGCCAGAGGGATTTGGTAAGATTTTAGGGAGACAGAAAGTTGGAATTTTCTTCTGTTGGGTTTTGTTTTCTCTAGGCAGAAGTTGAGGTCATCTGCTAGGAGCAGGGAATAACGGGGACAGTGGCATGATTTTTAAAACTGTTGTTCCAGTGGCAGTAATCTGCGGACATGTGGCTAAGCAGTGCTGAAGACCCAGTTAATGTTGGAGATGATGAATTTCTAGAGGAAGCAGCTCTCATGACAATGGGTGCTTTAGCAGCACTTAGCAACTAAGGGGTTAAAGCAGAGGACATTCTATTCAATAGGAGCTGTGTTTTGTGGGGCAAATGGTAGACTTGGAGGGAGGGGTGTCTAGGATATTGGTAACAGAGTGGTTGTCATCTAGCTGGCTAGGGAGAGGAGTGAGTCCAGGAGAGGACTGATAGGCAGCAGTATGCTGGGGAGTGGGTATCAAGGGGCTAAAATCTCAATGCTGTTGAAGAACTGAAGCTATAGAAGTAAAGACAAGGAGAGGTAGAAATATAGGAGGATATAGGAGGTCATGACAGGCAAAGGGTCTGACTTGGAGTGGAAAGGCAGACTCTGTTCAAGGGTCCAAAGTCCTTGATGATCAAGAGATCAGTAGGTGACAGTAGTGAGGAGTGGAATTGCTTGGTACAGGCCTCAGCAAATGAAGGATTTTTTTTTTTGAAGATTGTAGGAATAATGGCTTTGTTTCTCCTCTTGGTACTACTGGGTACTGATGAATGATTTTATGGCAGAACCTTCATTGCCCGGAAACCAAGTTCCTCAAGGAGTGTCAGGTTTCAGTTAGGGTGAAGGAGGCCAGAACTGCCTGTTAGGCCTGCTTTCTGCACTGCCTGCCCAAATATCATGGAGGTCTAATAGTTGGGAGAGAAGGGGAGGGGAGTTCTGGCCAAGTGGGAGGACCTCCACAAAGTACTAGGCCTTTACACAGAGTTTGCAGGAACAGGGATTAAGGACTCTTGCAGGCAAAATCTCATTTGGCCATTAGGGTGTTTTGAACTATTCAGGATCAGGTTGGGCCAGTGCTAATTTTCTGTGAGAGGCTGGAGGGAAACGCCGTAAAGGTTCCTTGCTTAAAATCTAGGCGTCAGTGGACTTTTGATCCTTTCTATTTCTGTGGAGTCTGAAATTTACTTTTACCTCCACGTATGGTGACAGCAAATAATGCCCTAAAGCCCACATAGTTTGAAAGAGTCTGAAAATACTCAGATTATTGTTTATAAAAATGTTTTTGGATTTTTGGTGATTCAGGATTCCTTTGACATTGTTAGTACATGACTACAAAAATTTAAGAAAGAAGCTTCCGGGCTGGCTGAGTGGCGCATTGATTAAGAGCTGGCTTGGGACGCCAGAGGGCCCCAGTTCGGATCTCATATATGAGGGCTAATATGCTGAACAACAGCTCAACTTGGAGCTGGGCTGCCCTGAGTCCCCAGCGACGGCGTAGGCTGCAACCCCTGCTGCAGTGGGTTGCCATGGGCTACCGTGTGTAGCCAGCAGCCAGCGTGAGCGGCCGTCCAGAATTGATCTGCCTTGCCCGGGAAGAGCGCAGTGATGGTGCCAACTTGGGCCAGTGAAGCAACATCCTCCACAACTAGACTGAAGAACAAAACGACAGCAACTTGTCTGTTCCCCTTCCCCCAATTCCCCAGCACTGTTCCCATCCCCCAATTCCCCAATACAAATCTTTTAAAAAAGAAAGAAAGAAAGAAAGAAGCTTCCAGGGCCTGCTGAGTGACTCACTTGGTTGAGTTTGCTTAAGAGTGCAAGCTCTGAGCAACAGGGTTGCTGGTTCGATTCCCACATGGGCCAGTGAGCTGCGCCCGAGCTGAGCTGCCGCTGAGCTGCCAACAGGTGGCAGGATGGCTCAGCTGGTGTAACAACAAGATTGCCTGTTCGATGGTGGGCTACTCCCACCTGCAACTAAGACTGAACTCGGCACCTTGAGCTGAGCTGCCGCTCGGATGGCTCAGTGGATAGAGCATGCGCTCTTAACAACAAGGCTGCCAGTTCGACAAAAAAAAAAAAAAAAAAAAAAAGACGCTTCCAAATAGCTGAAAGCAAACAAAATCTTCACAGTTCTTTTTACTCCTTCTTAACTTGATCCATTTACACTACCAGCCAGTCTATAAAACCAGATGTGAACAGCTTGGAAAGCTATAGCCTAATCAGTCATTCACCACAGGAACCTAAACAAGGTTGTGTGGCCCCCAGCAGAAGAGGCTGTGTGGCTCAGAGCTCGGGGTGCCGTTCCCATGGTTGTACTTTCTAAATCATTTGTAATTGGTTTTTCCACCTAAAATTGAGAAACTTCTTTCTGGCTAGTCATCATAAACAAAGTTGGGAGACAACCAACAGGCTGGGAGACAATTTTTGCAATATGTGTAAAAGGCATTGGATTCAATTAGTATCAATAATCTATAAAGACTCTTTCCGCCATCTTTCTGCGTGGCCATCATGGTTTGCATAAATGTCCTGGCCGATGCTCCCAAGAGCATCAACAATGCTGAGAGAGAGGCAAACACCAGTTCTTATTAGGCCGTGCTCCAAGGTCATTGTCTGGTTTCTGACTGTGATGAAGCATGGTTAACATTGGCGAATTTGAAATCATTGATGATCACAGAGCTGGGAAAATTGTTGTGAGCCTCACGGGCAGGTTAAACAAGTGTGGAGAGATCAGCCCCAGATTTGATGTGCAACTCAGAGATCTAGAAAAGTGGCAGAACCACCTGCTCCCATCCACCATTTGGTTTCATTGTACTGACCACCTCAGCGGGCATCATGGACCATGAAGAAGCAAGACGAAAACACAGGAGGGAAAATCCTGGGATGTAAACATACATGAAAATAAAATGCCTCAATGGAAAAAAAAAATCTATAAAGGGTTCCTATAAACCTATAAGGAAAAGACAACAAACCCAATAGAAAATGAGCAAGGATACAAATAGTAATGAATGAAACATCAACTTTTGTCTTCTGTTTATGTAAGACAAAAGATTCATTCCCCGTCCTCACCTTCTTATTATTTTTATTTGTTAAATTTGGTATTATAAATCTTAACCTTTGACAAGCATTTAGGGACCTTTCGCTACCCCTCCCCCCCCAGGAACTAGAAGGATTCCTGAGGGAAGCTGCCGGGCCATGGTGCCTGCTGTTGCACTTTTTGGTGTGAAGAACAAAGGAATTCAAGGCTCAGAATTCTCCCTTCCTAGGATTTGCTCCTTTTTAGTATTATTCGCAGCCTTGCAGACCCTCTCCGCCTCTTGTCTCTGATGTAGTGGAAGGGGCTGGAGCCGCCTCTGCTTGGGAGGCCTTGCTTGCTCTTTCCTCTCAGAAAGGGACCGGAATTACTTGAGACGCCCAGGAAGGCAAGGCACAGAGCAGGCCCAGATCTTGGGAGGAAGCCTGCTCCGTGTACTTGTCCTTGCCTCTCCTTTGGAGAAGCCCCTCAGCCGCTTTAAATTGGGTCTCAGGCCCCACCAACCTAGATGAAAGGAGTCGCTGACGCTAACTAGTTTTGCCTATTTCCCTGGGGTTTGAGGCTCCGGAATTCCAGCCTGGAAACAACAGGAATTTCATCTCAGGGTGGCACAAGGACATAAAGCCCTTTGTCTTTGAAAAACAGGTAACGCCTTTGGGACAGAAATACTGCTTTCTTTAATCACATTCTCGGGGTCAGTGGACCCTGATATAGGTATATGTGCATTGTTTTGGACTTGTAACACAGGCTTTCCTCTGAGCTGGAGAGTTTACATTGAGTAATGCAGGCATGCCTTATTTTATTATGCTTCACTTTATTGTGTTTTTCAGATAATTGTATTTTCATCAACATGGAGGCAAGACCCTTCACCAGCAAAAAAATTATGACTTACTGAAGGCTCAGATGATGGTTAGCACTTTTAGCAATAAAGTATTTTTAAATTAAGGTATGTGCATTGTTTTTCAGACATAATACTATTGCACACTTAATAGACTACAGTATAGTGTAAACATAACTTTTATATGCACTGAGAGACAAAAAATTCATGTGACTTGCCTTATTGTGAATTCTGGAACCAAACCTATGATATCTCCAAGGTATGCCTGTAGAAACTGATTTAAAACTAAAATTGACTGCAGCTAGTTCTGCCCTAAAGAGGGATGGCATAATTCATATTTGTGGGGGAAAGAATTATTCCATGTGCTTCATCACTACAGAATGGTGATAGTGAGAAAGCGAAAATTCCAAACTTCGTTTTGTTCCTCACTACTGGTCAGGGGTGGAACCTGGAGTGGATGGTTCATAATGGGGCTGACACCAGCTGTGAGTTCTTGGACATCAGAGGAAGGAGGATGGAGAGCTAAGTTGCTCTGAATAATATAAGGGGGAGCTTATTTTCCAGAGGGAAGGACAGACCCCCTCCCAAATGTGAGACAAGGGTGGAGGTGCCAAGCCGCATGGTAATGTGAAACCCCTTTGTCTCTCCCTAACTTCAGGAAAGTCTGATGAACACACAATGTCTTGAGTAAGTTTTTATGTGTATTTTTTTCTTTTTGGTAAAGCATGGAAGAAGGGAGCCGAGTCCCACATGTGGGACAGCTCAGAGCAGAGAGGAGATGAGCCTTAGAAGGTGAAATGCGAGTGAGATCACAAGTCCAAGAGGGAGCTGAACTCAGAACCAAAAGGGACTGTTCAGAGCATCAGCTGTTGGGAATTTGTAGATATTGTGGGAGGGTCATTGGACTTACCATAGAATTTGGGATGGGAGGATCCAGGCGGCTTCGAAAACACGCCCAAGGACAGGGGTGTTTCAGGTGACACCTGATTGTGATAGTGCTGTGTGACTCAGAACGTTTGACAGTGACTCCCCCCACCTCCCTTCAGGGACCGTCTTATGGAGGCCTATTTGTTGGGTGCTCCAGGAGCTATCCTGATATTCCTCTTTCTGCCCAATGAAAGCAACTTTCAATTCAGACCCCAAAAGGGAAGCGAAACTTTCCCACACAGGGCTTGTCATTCCCCTCCTTCCCTATAATTTACGCAGATCCTGAGGACTGAGCTGCACCCTCTCCAGCCACACCAGCGCTGGGTAGGACATGTCATTTGGGAATGAAAAGAAGTACGAAAAATCTTACACAAAGACTTAGGACTTGAATACTGTTCTGAACAAGTACCTAAACAAAGAGTGTCCTAAAGCCAGAAGCCAAGGTCCCCGAGTGGCTGAAGTGGGACCAGGGCAAATCCAGCCAGTGCCATGCTGCACAAGTGCCCTTGCTCATTCCTTGGGGAGGAAGAACCTATTGTATCATCTTAGCTTCCACTGTAATTCCGAAGTTGAGGACAGTAAAGATCAGCGGGCTTTGACTGCCCAGCCCGCCTTCTCCCTTCTTAGGTCAGAGTACCTTGGTTTTCCTTTGGGGGACCCCCTCTTTCCCCGGTCTCAGACAGGCTTCTGGTGGGGTCAAGTCCATCCCTTGGCTCTAGATGGAGGACACATATGCCAATTAGAGAACAGCAGTTGGCATGGGCATGGTCTCCAATCCAGGCCAGTCAGGACTCTTGGCTTTTGTGGGAACTGTTAAGAAGTGAACTCTCATTTTTTTTCCTACTGCCGAGTGTGTAGCATGGACATACCCTGAGGCTGCTGGGGACCGTCGTGCCACCCCAAGGGGAATGCTGAAGCCAACACATGAAAGCCGAGCGATGAGGTGGAAAGAAATGGAGACAGATGACATCTTTCCAGCACCTGCCTCTAACCATGCCTTACACTGGTCTAACTGGGCATTTCATTTACGTGGGCCTGGGCTTTCCTTTTTGTTTTTTTCCCTTTTGAAAGTTTGATTTGGATTTTTGTCACCTGTAGCCGGTAGAGTCTTCATTCATGTTATGAATTGTATACAGTTCTCATTACAAAGTGTGGTTCGGTCTTTCTCAACAGGTCCTTTTGTCTTAAAGTGATGCATTGTAAGTTTGCTGTATGAATCAAATGAGACCGGCATATAAAGAACCTAGCCTTATCCTCTGTACATAGAAGAAACCTAGTAAATATTAACGACAGGAAGCGAAGAATGAGGGAGGACAGGAAGTGAAGGCAGATGGGGTACTGAATTAAAAGAACCCTCAGACCCTATCAGGCTCCTCTGTCCTCCATGTCCCTAGCACCCTAAGTTTTTCCCTCATCACCCTTTATCACGGTTTGTGCTGATAGGCTTATGTAGTGTTTTGATTGTCTCCCTCCCTGACCTGCCAGTTCTATGAGGGCAGTGATTTTACTCACTGTTATATCCCCAGCAGCTAGTCCAGTGTGCGGCATTCAGCAAACATGTACTGATTGAATTGTCACAGTTACCCAAATTGGACTGACCCTCCTTGATTATTGGGGTTGATTGTGACAGAATTGGCAAAGTCAGGGAAAGCTATTCCTGTCCCCTCTGTATCGCCCACACTACCCACACCCCCAACACACAGAGAATTTTGTCTTAATGAGATAATTTTGATTTGGTTGTTAAACCCTTCACAAAACCTCTAGTTTTTATATTTTTATCGGATTATTTTATTAAAGAGTTACATAGTGTGGTGTTGGCCTAATATGTGGACAGCCTTGTAGGGAGTGGGTCAGGTCTCTGGTTAACAAGCAGTCTTCCTTGCTCCTCTGTCCATAAAGTCCTGTATTTAGCTGGGATAGCTCCCCTTCACTCAGGCTTGCTCCAGGCTGTGTTGGAGGCTATAGGAAGGCCCAGAAGTTGATGAGAGAAAGGTCCTGGATGCTGGAGACTTCACTCTCAAGCAAGAAACAAAAGCAGTAAAAGGTGGCCCTGGGAGGGGGTGGTAAACCGAAGCTCACCCCTTCAGTCCTCATGTCCTGGGCCCAGCGGGAGCTCCAGGCACCCCCCCATCCCCCTCACTGTGCAGTGCATCCTCCTTCTGGCTGGGGCTGTGGTTCCTCCCTTCCCCCAGCCAGCTTTCCCTTGGGGGTGAATGTTTCCCAGGGCCCATGTGACTGCCACTGGCAAGTGACGATTACAGCCGGTTACCAGTCAGTAAAACTGCCAGAGGCTTTGTGCTGTAATAATCCTTTTCCTGTTTAAAACTCTGGGGATTTTCTACTGTTGCCAATAGTTTTTCAAGTCAGGAATTACGGTGTGGATTATGTAATGGCTGGGTATTAAAAATAGAAAAGACCAGAGTTTGCATCTATTTTAACCAAATCAAAACAGAGCTAAAGGAGGGGAAAGGAGGAGAGAGAGACCAGAGGAGGAGGGAAAAAGATTACGTGACTAGAAGCAGTGAGATCAACTCATGTGACGGGACAATCCAGCCCACAATTTACTCTGCCCTTTTCCTGCCATTTTTGGCCCGAGGGGCTGCACTCCCTCCCTCAGGCTTTTCTGGGGGTGGGGGACCCTACAGAGAATTCAGAGGACTCAAGACCCTGGAGGATATTTCTCAGCTCAGCCTTAGAATGTTTGCCTGCCTCTGACCAGCAAAATGACTAAGGGAGGAAAGGGACTGAATTTGACATCCTACCCCCACCCCTCCAAGTCCAGGACTCCTGTGTCTTTTTTTTTTTTTTTTAAGATTTTTTTAATAGGGAATTGGGGGATGGGGAACAGACAAGTTGCTGTTCTTTTGTTCAGTCTAGTTGTGGAGGATGTTGCTTCACTGGCCCAAGTTGGCACCATCATTGCGCTCTTCCCAGGCGAGGCAGATCAGTCGCCGGCTTCTGGACGGCCACTCACAGTGGCTGCCGGCCGCTCACGCTGGCTGCTGGCTACACACGGTAGCCCATGACAACCCATTGCCACAGGGGCTGCAGCCTACACCATTGCCGGCGACTCATGGCAGCCCAGCTCCAGGTTGAGCTGTTGTTCAGCATCTTAGCTGTGGAGGGCAGTGTCACTGGCCCTCATATGTGGGATCCAAACTGGGGCCCTCTGGCGTCCCAAGCTAGCTCTTAACCATCGCGCCACTCGGCCGGCCCCAGGACTCCTGTGCCTTGATTTCCATGATCTCAGTGCTCTGCTTGTTTCTCTAGTTTCAGTGGTAGAGTCAAGGGGTGCTTCCACCCCTCCCCTCTTCCCACTGGATTGCCACTCTAAGCCCCTCATCTAGGAATTCCAGGGCTACCACTGGTTTGTTCTTGTTTGACTTCTCACTAATCCCCACCCCCCACCCTGTTTTAAAAGATCTTTGTGTTTTTCTAGAGACCTATTGAGTAACTTGAAGGACCTACTAATGGTGAAATTTTAGGTGTCAGGTGAGTCTGGAGCAGGGGGGGATATTTTTGGAAGGAGGACTTCTAAGAGCTGATTGCTCACATCAAAATACACCAGGTTTCCTACCATGTCACCCCCCTCCCGGATATTGAGGCACTCACAGCTCTGAGCCGACAAGGACTACCAAACATTTGGTGTGGCCCAGATTTTAATTCTTCCAACCCACTGTGTCCATTAATGTACTTGAACGTGCCTGGTCAAGTGTCCTGGCCTCTAGTATGGTCGTGTCATTGCAGCATCAGTTTTCTGTCATCTGGATAGGCTGGCCATTCCAGTCCAGATAGTCAACAGAGGTCGGAGGTCACAGTGAGTATCTGCCCTCCACATCCTATCTCAACCCTGAGGCTGTGAGCAAGATAAGGAGTCCACTGAAGTACCTATCTTAGGGGCTGCAAGAGCTTGAGTCAGTCCAGGACTAAAATCATTAGCAAGATCCACAAAGGAATCCTTTTTACCTAAACTCAGCTCTCTATTGTGACCTCTTCTCACTATTGCCCGCCTCCCCCCCGCCCCCCCCCCCATGGATAAGACCATAAGGAGACATCCCAACTGACCACAGCAGTGTTGGGTACATTGGTCACCCCCATCCTTTTCCTGAAGATGACTCTATCATTAAAATACTTAATGGATTTCCACAACCCCAACACACACGCGCATGCACACACACACGCACACACACCTCTTAAAGTGGTAGTGCTTCTTGTGTCTGTTGCTTGAGATAACTAGTGGTCACAAGCTGGTATGGACAGGGTAACATATTTAAATAGATTTAATTTTATTGACCCAACTGCATTGACAAACTTGAGACACTAGTGCTTATATATGTGGGACATCCATTTGGAGCACAGACAGTGCAAGATATAAATGGTAGATCTCTTGCATTAACTCCAGTACCAAGGCTCAGCGCTAGACGACTGTCTCCCTTTACTGCACATAGCACCACACCTGTCTGACCCCTTCTCTGTTTCATTTTGACATCAGACTCAGAAGTGCGTTTGGGGAATGGGCCAAGATAGGCAGAGTGGTTAGGCCTCAGGACTCTCCCTATTTGCTGCAACTCCCTCTGGCCCAGCAGGGAGTAGGGAGAGGGTGGGATAGCGGGGAGAGGTGCTGTGGCACCTGATATGACTCCAGCCACACCTGGAGCTACTTTTTGTCTTCAAAATAGAAAATGGGGGGCAGGGTGGGGAGGCAGGGAGAGGGAAGAAGAGGAGGAGAAAGGAGAGGGGGAGGAAGGAGGAGGAGGGGTAAGAGGAAAGGAGGTAAGGGAGAGGGGATTGTAGCCTGAGCCTTGGGGCTAGGCAGATCCAGATGGACAGGGGTGTCTGTGTCTGTATGCCCACCTGGGACTGACAGGCCGGGCAGAGTCTCGCGTTTGAGGTCAAGTCTTGGGGAAGCCAGTGGGGGATGTCTTGGCAGCCTGACAGCCTTGGGGTAATGACTCCAGGCCACCAGGTTGCTAAGCAAGGGGCAGTGCCAGCCCCTCCTCTGTACTCTCAGCGCCCTTTTCCCTTCTAACCCGACAGAGGGGCCCAGGCTCCAAAGACCCATCCATCTATCTCTTTAGTCACAAAAGGCGACGAAGAACATACTCACCAGCACTTTGCTGAGCGGTTTGCATTTTAAGAGGAGACCCCAGAATATTACTTCTACTACAACTACAAGTATTACTAAAACTAGTACTTCTCTAGTCAATTTTGGTAATTTTTAATTTTTCTCAAAAATGTTAAAAATGTAAAAAAAAAGTTAAAAAATTATTCGCATACAATTTTTGTCTTATTTTTATATCTCTATTTTAGCTTCCCTTTTTCATTCCCGATCTCTCTTATTTAATGCTTCATGCCCTTTTTATAATTAGTTTTGTTACAGGTCGATTTTCTTTTCTAAGAACTGGCTTTTATGTTATCTTGTCTTCTATTTCATTTATTTTAATCATTTAAAAACTGGTTTTATAACTGAAAAGTAGTACAAAGGGTCACTGTCTCTTAAAAACTACAGTAATACCTTGGTTTGCGAGCATAATTCCTTCTGGAAACAAACTATTCATATTGCAAGACATCGCTCGTTTACCACATTAAAATGTATTAGAAATGTTTGCTCATCTTATGGAACACTTGCAAACCACATTACTCGCAATCCAAGGTTTTACTGTATTATAAAATGCCTAGTCATCCAAAAGAATGGACAAGGATTAAAAAAAAGTCTATGTGGTTTATAAATATAGGAAAAGACCTTACTTGCATGTAAAATAATGCATCTTTAATGGTGGACCTCTAGGCTTGAGTGGGGAAGAGAGTTATCGTAGTAGAGGGAACTCTGGATTACAATCCCTGGGCTGCTGCTTTTAATTTGACTTTTATTGATTGGTCTCCTAACTTGACTTTTATTGACTAGTATTAGGCAAGGCACAGACCTCCCCTGTAAATTGTGACTGGTAAAAAAATGACTCCACCTGCCTTACTTCGTTGGCTGTTGTGTCAAATCAGTTACGGAATAAGACACCTAAACACCTACTCAGCCCTCCACCCCTACTCTGTCTTTTCCCACAGGTGGCAGTAGCGGGGCAGGTGGGTTGTGGATGAACCCAGCATAGCCTAGTAGGGCCGCTTACCAGGTCTTGGCCTTTAAATTGGAACATTATTTTGATGGGAAGAAAAGGGTCTTATTCTCTCTTCAGCTCATTGTGCCTGCTGTATTATCTCTTCTTAAGCTATACATATATACATTTTTTAGGTTTTATAACTGTGTTTTCTAGAGAAGCGTGTGGAAGGGGTTAGGTGTGCTGGTAAGCCCCAAGACTTGGGAGACAGGAGTCGATGATCTGTATCAGTGGTTCGCTAATATTTTGGTGTTGGACCCTTTTACACTCTTAAAAATTATTGAGGAATTCAGAAGACGTTAATTCATGTGGTCTATAGGTATAGATATTTACCATATTACAAATATGGAAACAAATACTAGAAACAGAGGCTTTAAAAGTATTATTTTTTAAAAATAACATACTTTACATGTTAACATTTTATAAAAAATACATTTTCTAAAATAAAAATATTTAGAGGAGAGTTATAGTGTTTTACAGATAGGCAGGTCTCTTTAATGACTGCCTTAAGAGAAGACAACTGGACTCACATCTGCTTCTGTATTCAGTCTGTGGCAAAATGTTGCTTTAGTCAGAGTAGATGAATAAAATCCAGCTTCATACAGATTTGTGGTTGGAAAACGTAGGACTTATTTTAATAGCCTTTTCAGATAATTGTGGATATCTTTGATATGTCACCAAAATTGGACAAATGGCAGTTTCTGAAAGATTAGCTGTGGTATGAGATCTGAAACCACATTGATGATCTCATACACAGCTATACCAAACTCCACTGGTCTGTCTTATACTTTGAATGGGTCTTTTATTCATGCCTGATTTTGTAACATCATGCGTCGGTCATTCGGAAGATAATGACTCAGTGAGTTATGCAGATCTTCCAAATGTGGACACTTTCCGTCCACGATATCACGTTTGTTAGTATCACCACTGATTTCATCAGCAAAGCCTTTAGGTATTGGGAAGCTGTCAAGCTCATCGTGTAGATACAAGTTTTCTAAAATTCTAATTTTCACTTGACAGCTCAAATTTTATCATTGGCAAAAAATACTGACAGTTGTTTTACTTAATGTGACAAGCTCACTTCATTCATTTTCGAGAAAATGTCTGCCAAATACCCAACTGAATAATCACAGTTTGTCAATTGTTTTTTCTAATAAAAATGATGTTCCACGAAAAAAGCAAGTAGTTCAGCCCTCACTGCAAACAATCATGTAAATGTGTCCATTACTTCAGTATGTGGCAGAAGAGCTTTGTGCACCGACTGTTAACAAGATGTGTACTCAAGGGTCGTGTTTTAATAAAATTAACAATTATTACTCCATCATGGACATTTAAAAAAAATTTCTTTTTAAAATTCTATTGGGGAACAGTGTGTTTTTCCAGGACCCATCAGCGCCAAGTCCAGTAGTTGTTTCAATCTAGTTGTGGAGGGCACAGCTCAGTGGCCCATGTGGGGATCGAACCGGCAACCTTGGTGTTGTGAGCACTGTGCTCTAACCAACTGAGCTACCTGGCCACCCCCCATCATGGACATTCTTATGTGAGGCTGGACTTTTGTTAAACCATAAGTACATGGGGATGAAGGAAGTGACTTCATTGATTTGTGTTAAGGCCCCAGCAGTTTACCAATTTTTGCTTTTACACTATCAGTGCAGATGTCAACAAAGTGAATACTCCAGAAATTCTTGGTATTATTATAAAAATGTTCTTGACCTCTTGAACCATGCTGGAAAGATCCAGGAGACCCCCGTCTCCTACCCCGGAGTCCAAGGATTATAGTTTTAGAGCCACTGATCTGTGTGACCATGGGCACTAATAGCTCGTGGCTTTGAACACCTCAGTTAGCTTCCCTGGGCCTGAGTTTTCTCAATTCTAAGGGGACCCTGGGTGGGCTTTTAATTTCTCTACGCTATCGAATCCTGTTTGCTAGTCCTTGAAGCCACTTCTGCCCTAGCAGCTGTGATACTGCTTTCTTTTCTCCCTGTGTCTCTCATATCTCCTTTTTCCTCCGTAGTTCCTCAACCTTCCCCGTACAGATGGGCATCCTCCTTGTTGCTTCATCTCCTCCTTCCCTCCCTGGGTGATCCAGTCCCCTCCCTGGTCTTTAACCATCACCTACAGGACAACAGTTCCCAAATCTCCACCTGTAGTTCAGATGTCTGTCCTGGGCTCCAGTTCTATGATTCCAGCTGCCCCAGGACCTTTCCACCTGTGTGCCCTGCAGGCATGTCAACAAGTCTAAACTATTCAGTCATCTTCCCCCACAGATTGCTTCCTCTTCCAGAGTTAGCCCGTCTTGGTTAATCCATCACCCACCCAACTGCTTAAACTAGAAGCCCAGGAGCCCTCCCTCACCCCTTATCTGGCCCCCTTACTTCACTCGTCTAATCACCCAGCCTATCGTTTTTTGCCTTATATTTTCCCAACATCTTCCTGCCCTCCAGCTCTGCCACCATTGCTTCAGATGAGGTCCCCATCACGTCTTACTCAAACTGTTACAAGAGGTTTCTCCTTGGTCCCCTGTTCCCTCCCTTTCCAACCTAGACAGCTCACAAGGGTTATCTTCTCACAGATTTTTTTCCAGTAAGTAAATACATACTGAGGACTTATTATGCTGGGCTCTGTGCAGGGTGCTGGGGATACAACATAGAACACAACAGATGTAATCCCTGGCCTCCAGCACTTACACATTACAAGGGGAGAGAAAAAGTACAGGGCACAGGTCAAGACAGTGTGATAGGGGTGCTTGAGAGCCCCAAGAAGCCTTCGCTAAGGGCTAGCTGTGTCTCACTGGTGGTCAGGAAACACTTCCTGGAGGAAGCAACACGGACATAGCTCGCGGGAGGGAGCTAGCTAGGAGTGGTGGCAGTGTGGTGATGCAAAGCTTTCCTGGTCATTTGATTAGCTCATTTCCCTGTGTAAAGCCCTTCTCTGAGCTTCACCACTGCCTGCAGGATGAAGTCCAATTTCTTACCATGGAACACAACCTTTGTGGCCTCACCTACCATTCCCCTGCCTTCTGTCGGGGCTGCTTTCAGTTCCCACAAAGCCCGGCTCACTCCCTCACAGCTCCAGGCTTTTGTATGCGGGTTCCTCCTGCTCCCCACCCTTCCCACCCACTGAATTACGAGGCAGCTGACTCAGGAGACCTTCCCTGACCCTCCCATGTAGACTTTGTGGCTCCCGGTCCCGTGCTCCCCACCTGTGCACACCTGGACTCCTGAGCACTCTTCACATGGTGAGAGCTCATTCACATGTGTCTCTGACTCTGGCTCCTACCTGCCAGCGCAGGTCCTGCCTAGTCCCCACGTCCTCATCCCGTGAGCACTTTGGGCATCCTCAGGGTGTGTGTCTCCCAGGTGCTGGTAGATAAGGTTAGACAATTACCATCCCCACCCCCCAGCTATCTTTTTCTCTTCTCAAGCTCTGCAACCTCCCTTTGCCCCTGCCACACCCCATGGAGTTATCAATTCTGCTAGACACTGCCTCACCCATCAGGCACCACATACCTGGCGGGAGCCACTGACATTCCTATTGGCATGAGGTCAGCTGGCTCCATAGTAGGAACAGGGCTGTGGGGCTGCTGGTACCCCCATTACCTTATAGAGCCATGAGGTCTGGCCCCACAGATATGTCTAAGTCACAGATACAACTGTAGCTCAGAATTACCTCCTTTCCATCGAACAAAGCTTTGTCTCTGGGTCAGCTCATTATACGGTTGTCCTTCTTCCCTTAGCAAGAATTCTTTCCTGATAGGCCTCTTAGCTCCTCATGCAAATATGCTTCCCAAGGTTCTGCCCACCAGTGGGCCAGACAGGTGTGGCTTGCATCACCCTCCGTCTCCAGCTTGGAGGCAAAAGATATAGACATCTTTTTTTTTTAAAATACTAGATTATATAAGCAATACTGAATATAGCTTCATCGTTTAAAAAATCCAAGCAGTTTCAAAATACATAGAATAAAAAGGTAAAGTTCCCTTTCTACCTCTTCCCCTATCCTAAAGCTAACCCTGCTGTTAATTATTTGGTGGAAGTGTTCAAACTCTTTGCTCTTTATTTATGCATGATATTTGAGAAATTAATCTCTCCCCATCCCCAGATTTCCCCCTTTCTCACTCTCACGTTCACGTAGCTCATTTCCTCCCAAATTAGCTAGCTCCCAGATTAGAAAATAGAAGCCATCTTCAAGTGTCTCTGGCGTGTGTGCCAAAAAGCTTACGCACTTAGGGAAACTTCATGACTTGTGAAGTAGTTCACCGAACAAAAAGGACGCTCTTGCACAGTCTGTGCCTTGATTAGAAACAAGATGGAGGAAGGATTTCACCTGGAGCGGAAAGACCCTCAACTCTTTGGAGCCCTCCCCTCCTTGGACAGGCTTGGGGGCAGGAGAGACAGGGAAGAAAGATCCTGCCTCCCAGCAAGTGGTGGCCACATGGTGGGGCCAACCTGCAGGGACACAGACAGCCTGGCCCAAGGTTCCTGGCTGCCCACAGTGGCACAGAGCACAGAGGCCACTAGACCTTGCCTCAGCCAACTGCACAGCCACTTCCTCTGTGCCGTGCCTGGCACTTCCCAGTGCTCTGGAGAACTCAGACGCACAGAGAAGTCAGCTTTCTGTTGGCAGGAGGGAAGCTTACCATAAGCACTGAGTTGAGTTACAGAAACGAAAGTTTGGTTTCTTGCATTCTTAAATTTGTGAACTGAGATTCATTCCTGTGACTTGTACGAGTCATATTCTGCCACTTTTGAAAAAAATTTTTTTTCACAATATAGCTTAAAAATGTTTCCACAGCAGTAGATACAGATTTATGTTATTCTTAAAAAACAACAACAATATATGCTCATAATAGGAAATTCTAACAGAACCAAAAGAGAAAGCAAAAGCTCTCCTGTCGTTCATTCCCACTCCCTAGATGTATAAAACTATTGCTAACAGCATCTTGAGAGTTCGAGAAGATTTTCATGCAGATAAAGACATGTATCTATTTCTATACAGCTTTTTATATACAAATGATTTCAAACTGTATATTACCTGCAACTCATTTGCTTCTTTATTTAACCATTTGACTTTATTGTTAAATAAATTGTATTATTTAAGTAGGTATAGTTCTACTTAATTTCTTTCAATGATACCATATGCGTCACATGTATTTCACCGGGTGATGGGTGTACGTTCTCAGATTTTTAGCTATTACCAATTAAGAGCCCAATGCACATCTGGTACACCACGGCTGTGCACCTGTGCTAATGTATCGATACAGTACATGCGTAGCAGTGCAGCTGCTGGGTCAAAATGAGTATATGTTCAGCTTTAATGGTGCTAAATGGTCAGGAGGTCATTTTATGAAAAGAGCTGTGTGTTTCTTTTCAGAATTAAGTGCAGAGCCCACTTGTTTCCCGAGAAGAGAGGGTCTGCTGCTGCTGTGCCCAGAGCCCTCACTAGGTAAGAGCCTTTTCTCTACCTGGCCTTCTCTCCTCTATGCTGGACTGGGTTCCCAGGCATCTTCGTAAGCCCTGCTCACACCCTCTAACTAAGGCCACAGCCACAGGCTCCTGGAGAATTCAGCCCTGGCCTCCTTTTGTCTCTGCACCCTCTCGGTCTCTCAAGTGGGGGGAGTATCTCCCAACTAGAAGGCTGCCTAGGCCCCAGTTTCCGATTCCATCTGCAAGGAGAGAAAATGGCAGCCACCTAGAGAAACAGAATTGGATGCTGTTTACTTCCCCACCTGCAGCTCCTGTATCTAACCACAGGGGGCCCCAGTGTGGGACTCATAGGCCTAGATCCACACCAGAGCTGTACAGGGGTGGGAGGTCCTAGTGTGTGGCATGGCTTCCTTATGGGACAGTGGCTTTTATAGGACTATATCATGGTTCTCAAACAGGGGCAACTTTGCCCCCTCCCCCCAAGCTGGGGACATTTAGCAGTGTTTGGAGATACTTTTGGTTGTCACAACTTGGTGGGGTTTAAGGAGGATTTGCTACTGGCATCTAGTGGGTAGAGAGACGCCAGGGATACTGCTAAACCTCCTATATTGCATAGGGCAGCTGCTCACAACAGAGAGTTATCCAGCCCCCAAATCAATAGTGTCGAGGTTGGGAAACCCTGGGCGACAGCAGGGCAGACTGCCCGGCACGTGGCTGACACTGTGACTGCCTCTGCTTTTGTTAACAGTGGTGAACGCTTCTGTCTTGTTCACCCGTAGTTTGCCACTGTTCTCAGTGCTTTATAGCCATTAACTCATTTAATCCTCACAAGTCAGTTGCCTCTATTATCATCCCATTTTACAGATGAGGAAGCTGAGGCATGGAGCTGTAAAGTTCCCAGTCCAAGCTTCCTTCAGCGGTGGCACTCGAGGCTTGGTCTCCATATAGCCTCTCACATGTGCTCCTGGCAAGTACTCCAGGACTTCCCTTCTCCCTCTGCTTCTTCTAGAACCTTGGAAACACCAAGGATGGTTTATATCTATACAAGGAGAGAAAAAAAAAAAAGACATTTGATTGGTCTTTTCTCCCTGATTCTGATTTCTCCATTTCTGATGGCTTTTGTAATTTTTTTTTTCCAGAGGGTTTAACCGAAGTAAGTACTGATTGCAGAGATTATGGACAACCATGAAAATTTACTCGTTGAATTTGCATGAAAAAAATCCTCTGTCATTCCTACAGTGGTCTCTTAGGACCCTTTAGGTCCCTGGGCTGACAGGCTGAGATGCATTTTGGGTAGTAGATTTGCTTAGATATGAAAACAAACTTTATCACCCAGGAGGACCCGGAGATGCTGGTGGGTCAGGCTTGGGACCAGGGACACAGGGCCGTTTCGGCTAGACCCATAGTTTGGATGAAGGGGGGTACTTCTCCAAAGGAGGCCTCTAACAGCCAAGACGGGAAGTTATAAATGGGGTGAGGTGGCGGAAGAAGTGGGAAGGGATCTGTTGGATCAAAGCCAACTTCACACCAGTGGAAATATTTATTAGCTCATTAATTATAGGATGCCGCAGGATTGGCTTTGCCTCTGGGTGTGTGGGCAGTAACCTATGCTTTAAACAAACAGCCCCATCACTCAATAATAATTAGCAGCAACAATGGTCATCTTCAGAGGACCAGATTGACAGGTGACCCACAACACACAGCCTCAAGCCTGACCTGGAACTGGGCTTGATGCCACACCTGTGGAGCCAGCCAGCCCATCCTCAGGCAGCCTACAGGGCCACAGGCGCAGAAATGACACCTTCGTACTTGGGCCATTTGCTGAGAACTTGCTGTGTACTGGGCATTGAGAGGAACACAAAGGAAATGCAAAGCACGGACTGTACCCGCAGTCTAGAGAATTGAGGAGACAAGATTAGGTTTGAAAAATGAAACAGCAGCACAAGAGATATATATGTCACATATAAGAGATGGGGATGCTCAGAGCAAACAGGAGTTCTGAACAGGGTTCCCCACCAGGTGGTCTGCATCATACCTCTGTGTTCCTTGTCAAAGAAGTAGGAAACACGAAGAAGAAAAAAAAATCACACTAACACTTGTCAGAGATACATATTGTTCCTATTTTGGTTACATCCTTTAAGATCTCTTTCTCTGTTCATACTATGGATCTCTCTATATACACATATACACATTTTATCACATAAATGGATTCATATTATACCTATTGTTCTGTGACTTGTTCTTTATACTTAGTAATAAATTGCGAACAGTTTTCCTTGAGAAACTTCTTATGTATCTCTTGTATTTTACTGTGTACTTACTACCATGATTTTAACTAGCCCCTTATTATTGCCTCTTTCTGTCACTAACACTTGTGGCCTGTATATAATACTCTGTGCACATCCTTATTTTTATTTCTAGGATATAGTTTTTAAGTAGAATTGCTAGATCAAAGAATATGCTTACTGGGGCCAGCCGAGTGGTGTGATGGTTAAGAACTGGCTTGGGACGCCAGAGG